TTTTTTTTTTTCCTCAGAGAGATGATAGAGCATATTCTTTTAAGCTATGGAAGGAAATACACTGATGATGGTAAGTTTGGAAAAGCATGTATGTTTTGAATTTGAAAAACAAAATAGTTACTGAGTAACTGAAAACTTTATGAGGATGGCTCGAACAAATTAACGCGCTACACTAAAACTAAACACTAAGTAAAAGAAAGAAGTAAACAGCGAGATAAAAAATTAGTAAAATTGTTAGAGAAAGTTCCATAGGAAAAAGCTGCTCAACTGTATGAGACATGAGAGAAAATTAATGAACCGACAGAAGTACCTGAAGTGATATTTTAGATGTTTACAAACAGTGGTTTTGTGACTGAAGGTAGATTGCTTTTACAAACTGAATGCAATCTCCTTATAGATACTGTAGGAGATCTTGGATGCCACGTATTTAAGCAGTTGATAGTAATATTAATTGTGCCACAGATTATAGATGTCCCTGAATTCTTCTTGTAAGAAGCAGCCATCTCCATTGCCTGTCTTACCTATGTACATAATAGGTCAGTGCCTTCATTTAAATTCTTTTTCATGGCTGTTTTCATCTCACCTTTGACCAAAGTGGAAATTGCACACCACCTTACAGGGCACAGGAGAGCAGTTGTATGACACAGATTGTCCTTCTCTGATTCGTATATTGAAGCACATTGCACAAGGAATAGTTTTGAATTACAGGGAGACCGAAAAGGTGGAAAGCAATATGGCTGACTTTCAGAGAACTTCAGCCAAGTGAGAGTAGAAAGAAATTCTCCTTATTCCTGTAATCTGATATTACGGGGATGACTGCAGAAATAGAAGTTTTAATTGTTCAACTAAGGCAGCAAACACGTTGATACAAGTTATTCAGAGGTAGGAATGAAAACTGTGGGAAAGCATTACTGTGGAAAAAGGGAAAAGAAGATGATTTGTTCTTCAGCATGAGAAGATATCATTGAAGAAGACTAGAACAGAATGGAAATTTGAGGCTGTTCTCTGTTCTACTATCAAAAAAAGCAAGAACTCAAGCTATTGTGTCTTTTGTTTCTCAGCAGGGGAGGTTTACTTTGAAATGCATGAAGATAAAATATGCAGAGCTATAGTGCAAATGCTTTTGCAAAATGCAGTTAAATTCAATTTATCAGAGTTTCATGAAGTCTGGCAACAAAGTGTCCCTGAAGGGATGTCAACAAGGCTTGATCAGCTTAAGGTAAAAATACAAAGTATGAATTCTTTAGTGTTATATCTAGATTTTATGATTGGTGGGGGTTGACTGTATTTCTGTCAGCTTTTAAGTACTATTTCTGACATCCTCCTTGCAGCTAGCAGTGAGTTTTAGGAGGCTTTGGAGATACAGAGAGTAACTTCTTATGCATTCACTGTAGAATGAAGAAAGTTCAATTGTTTTCATTTTAATTAAAGCTTTCTCTGTGATGCTGATCTACAGGGTTTGGCTCTTGTGGATAAAGCCTCAAGACCAGAGACCATCTTTCTGCTAAAAGTAGAAGACTTACCTGAAGAAAATCAGGAAAGATTGAACAGCTTATTCAGCATACAGGAAAAATGGACGGAAGCAGATATTACCCCTTATATCCAGTAAGGATATGTTAAAATAAGATTGTATTTAAAAAAAGAAGTCAATTAAGCAGAACTATGCTATAATTGGAGTTCACATTCTTCCCTTTCTGCATGGCTGACTTTCAGCTATGTAGTTATGTCTGAAGTACTGTGTTTTAAATTACTACAAATTCTACATGAATAGAATCCCCACTCATGTGAACTATAGCTACATTTGTTGGATTTGAACTTGTGTAAAAAGCTGATCCATTGAATTTAAATGAGAACTGATTTGATTGAGGCAGACTTCAGCTAAAGAAAATGTCCTGAATCTTTACTTAGTCTCCATATTTACAACTCAAGAGCTGTACAGCAGTAGTGCTTCCTAAACTGCATCCTTTTTTGTCCTACGTTACAATGTTATGTGGAAGACCAAGCCAGACTGCATGTGGACAGGCATAAATGGTAACCCAGAAGCTACTTCATTAATTTTTTTGAGTGGCTCTAAATTTACTTTAATATAATTATTTCAAAGCTAGTTTGAGAGAACAGCAATAATAATTTAAAACAAAACAAAAGCCTTGCTTCTCAAGGCAATCGTGGTCTTTCCTGTTCCTTAAATTTCAAGCCAAGTTCTAAACTTTAGGTAATTCAGAGCATTCGGAGAGTAACTCTTGTGATTTTCTCCCAATACCCAAGTCCAGCTTATGGCCATATTTACAGTCATTTCACCGAACATCGTGTCTGAAAGCATGTTTAATGCTAACGTCATCTACTTTATTTCCTCTGTAGAGACTTATGTGCAGAGAAGCAGACGGTTGGTCTGCTTCTGACAAAATATGCTCGATCCTCAATGCAAAATGGTATTAAAGTTTATAATTCCAGAAGACCTATCTCATAAAAAATACTGTTTTAAAAACTGAGGATATCGTACGGAGTAACAGTGAATGTTGCTTCTTCCTCCCCCTTCTGGGGGAAAGAGTTGTCAGCAAATGTTATGTGGCATTCTTGAACTGAAGCAGCTGAACTTTGTGAACAAATTTAGTTTCCTGCACAGCTAAGTAGAATGAGAAAGAACTTGCCTCTTCTAGGAAACCATAATGTCTGCAGCCCATTTCCACCTTCCTCTGTCCGCTTTCTTTTCCTTTGTGTTTACAGTTACACTGGAAGTCAAGGTTCTTGAATATGATTTAGCTGTTTATCCATACACTGAAGACTATCATTAAAAATTAAAACCTTAGTAATAATTGAATCAAATGGATTTTAACAGCAGAATAAAATGTTTAGTCTTTTGTCCATTAGGGAGCATTTTTAAGCATGCGGATTTTGTTGCTATGTTGACATTTTGAATACTCACACCTTCACAAGCTTATGAATGAATTACTGTTAACTGAGACTAAGCTGGTTCTTTTTGTGACCTTGAATAACATTGACGCAAATTCTTGATAGTTCAACGCTTGGCAAAATGCAGCCTTTTAAATATTACAAGGAAAAAAAAGCATAATCAGGTTTGTAAAATCAAGTCTGAAGACATGAGAAAATTGTGTTACGAAGTTCCTGTAAACTGCCATTAGAATGTAGCTGATGTAAAATTCATCTTTTAAAGAAAACTGCCTTTGCTTTAAAGAGAACTTGCAAAACTTAGTAATATGAGTTTTTACGATTTTGGTATGGACAATAACTGCACATGAAAATTGTGCCTTGAAAACTTAGGGTGGAATATTATTTTGCTTGGAGCAATTAATTAGAAATTTGCTATGATATAGCCTTAAAATTGAGTAACCGTAATTGAAATTTCTTGATTATTAAAAGCAGTTTGCATTTGTCAGTGAAACAGTTTCATAACCAAAGGTACATTTAGTAAATGCAAGGTGATCAGTGGAGGGGGATGGAAGAAACAAAATCAAATAATTACACATTTTCTGGATTTTTTACAAATAAAAAGCTGAATAAAAGCTACTTCCTGAGTTTCGGTTATTTTTCTCTATTGATGCAGGATTGATTCCCTGTGTTCCGTATTTCTAAAGCATGTAAGTGTGCTATTTGACCAGTTGCACAGAGGCTCAGCTGGGCTCAGTTCCTGAAAGAATTGCCTTGTTCACTGCCTGGTTTCAACAGCTGTGGTCCTTTCTTTTAATAGCAGTGGTGTTCCCTCTGAGAGATAACAGCAGTCAGAATTTGAAAGCCTTTGAAAGAACTTCAGTTTGACCATATGTGGTTCTTTAGCTGAAATACATAAAGCAATTGATAGTTGTATAGGTTGTGATATAACAGTATATTTATGCTAGGTCTTGTTTGTGAAACAAAATTTAAGTATTACAGGAGTAGTGCTGTATCATAATAGTTAATGTAATGATTTAATATATCTAAAGTGTTTTAATGTGTGATTTTTCTACCTGTTGTTGACAATATTTCTGGTGTGTTTTGTGAACAGAAGTGAAAAGAATAACAGAATTAGCTTCTTTGATGCATTAACTTCAACATAAAGGAGATAAATCAAAACTTGCATATAAGAAGCAGTTGCTGGTTGTGAAGAAATTAGATTTTGTGTTCTGGTAATTCTAACTCAAATCTCTCCACAGGGCAACTAGAGTGTGAAGGAAGAGTGACAGACTGCATCTTTTTGTTGTTGTTGTTGTTGTTGTTGTTCTTCCTGCCAAGTTTTGGGCAGCACTGTTAGTATCTTAAATTGGTTTTGGAATCAAAAGGCAGGACTGCAGCCTTTTACTATCTTCCTATCGATCTTTGCTGGGTACATCCTTGAGTTTGGCCCATAGGTAACTTCGTGCATTCCAAGTACCAGTAAGTGCTTGTCCAGCACTGGCACTTCCCTAGTGCCAAGCAAGAGGGCCACACGTGATTAAGCAACCAGGTTTTGGAGCCGAAGTGCTGGCTTAGTGCAGCTGGAGCCCTGCCTGAAGCAGGGGGGGCACATTACCGTCCCTCTGCGTTCGTGCCTACCCAGGCTGTACCTCACACAGCTGTCAGTTAACCTCGGCCTTGCCGTGAGACCGAACACGCCGGCGGGGTTAACGTTTCCCTTGGGGCTCTACTGCTGTTGCAAACCTACAACGCGAATGGGAACCAAAAAAACGCAGACTTCGCTACCGCGGGTTCCTCTATCCCACCTGCGCCATCTTCCCGCCGCACCGACGCAACCACCGCCCAGGCTGCGCGCATGCGCACACATCCCGCTCGGGGCTGCGCCAGAGGCGCGCGGAGTGCATGCACCTCTTGGGTTACTTTCGGAGTTTTGTTTTCTTTTATTATTATTTTTATTTATAGCTGCCTTTGAGAGTTACCGTGGCGCCGCTTTGAAAAGCAAAGATTTTGGGAGATTTTGGCTTCTCAAAGAAGCAAAGCTCCTTCGGGCTGGCTGTGACCTTTCACCCGGCGGGGTGAGAGGTTGCTGACAAAATGGCGGCGGCTGCCGCGGCAGGGCGCGTTGGCGGGAGGCGGCCGAGCTGCTGAGGGAGTCCCGCTCGGCCCTGCCCGGCAACCCCGGACGAGAGGGAGCCCAGCCCGGAGCCACGTCCGTAAGATCGAGCCGTGGGCCCCGCGCCGCCTCTCCCCTGCCCCCGGCAGGCATCCTGTCAGCGGGGCGCTGCTGTGTCCGCCCGGCCGTTCCGCACCCCCACGGCGCTTTCCGTTATCCGGTCGGTTCCCGTAGGCGACATGCGAGCTGCTATCATACTCCAGCAGAAGGAGAGGGTTGCGAGTTACCTCGTAAAGGGTTATGTAAAAAGGCAGCGTTGTTGGCGTTGTAATCATGGTGCTGAGCCGAGCTGGAGATGCCTGACCCGTCAGTCACGGACCTGCTGTGGAGATGAGGGATCGCCTGCAGCGTGGCACGGGGAAAAGCCGCGGGAGCCACCGAGCAAGGAGGATGCTGGTGTCCTTCTGACAGCCTGTGGTGTGTCACAGTGCTGCTGGTCAGGATGAACAGGAAGAAAGGAGACAAAGGATTTGAGAGCCCAAGGCCATACAAATTATAAGTATCTATTTCTTAAAAGATTGCTATACTTCGGATCCTGATGCGTTTGGAGCAGGCCCCAGGCCAAGCGGTGGTTTTCCACCCGAGGAGCTGAAACTCCAGTTTGGAGAAGCTTGCTCTCAAGTGCATGCACGTTATGGGGTTTATCTTGTGCGATCTCATGGTCAGAAAGGCTGTAAAGCGTGCAGTCTCATCGTGCAAAGAAATTTACATTGTGCTCCTTGGAGCTTAGAGATCTTTCCAGGCAGTATCAGCACCACAGATCATGCTATCACATTTCGTTATTATTTGTGTGTCAGGCCCTCTAGTCTCACAGGCTTTTTAATGTATGAACACAAGTATATTTATAAATAAAAGCTAGCATTTGTGCTGAGGAGGTCTGAGCAAATGATCATTTTTTACAGTTAGTTTATAGCCAAATTATAAAGAAATTGGTTGATGTGTCAGAGAATCTTCATGCTTTCATGATATTCAGCTTGGAGAAAAGAAAGCTCCAGGGAGACCTCATTGTGGCCTTCCAGTACTTGAAGGGAGCACATTAACAGGAGGGGCAATGGCTGTTTACGAGGGTGGATAGTGATAGGACAAGGAGGGATGGTTTTAAACTGAGACAGGGGAGGTTTAGGTTAGATATTAGGAGGAAGTTTTTCACACGGGGTGGTGAGGCACTGGAACAGGTTGCCCAAGGAGGTTGTGGATGCCCCATCCCTGGAGGCATTCAAGGCCAGACTGGATGTGGCTCTGGGCAGCCTGGTCTATGGTTGGCGACCCTGCATGTATTGAAACTGGGGTATTGAAACTAGATGACCATTGTGATCCTTTTCAACCCAGGTGATTCTATTATTCTATGATTCATGTCTTTTTTTTTTTTAAAAATAAGTTTATGATTTCCTTATAAATCTGTATAATTTTAAACAGAACTACTGATGGTATCATAGGGATTTTGGTATGTAGGTGGTGTTTGAATTCATTAGTACTAGATTTTTATAATTTTCTTGTAGGATTTTTATTGAAGTCTCTCAGTTGAAGCCAAGTCCTTTTTTAATGCACAATCATGAGTATGTTTGGTACAGTGTGTGACATGGTGTAAAAGCTGCATCAGCATAAGGCTGTATCTTCAGTCAGTAGTCTGAAGTGTTGAATAGATGCTGTCGACTGCAGAAAATATACAGAAATAAGCTCTGAAAGTTTTTACAAGTTGGAGTTACTATTTTATCTCTTAGAAAATCAGAGTTTGATTTACCAAGAGTTCTAATATGCAACTCAAAACTTAAGTGAATACGTTTGACTTGTTTATAATACTGATCTTGATTAATATATCACAATTGTCTAATAAATTTTTATAACATTCTAACTGTAAAAATGCATACTGCAACCTTTTTTTTGCACGTAGTACCCACTTAAGTAAATGATGTATGAGAAGCAACTTATCAGGTTCCTTGGATTGCAAGTGTTAGGGCTGCATCCCATTTCCAATATTAGTATCACAGAATCACAAAGTCCTTAGAGTTGGAAGGGACCTCTGAGGGCCATGTAGCCCAATTCCTCTGCACTGAACAGGGACACCACAGCACCACAGCGATTTGCCCATCACTAAAATATGAGAACTTGATTTCAAGCTATCAGTAATGCTGTGTATTTACGTACACAACATTCAAAACCTTGTGGAATTACCTTCTTATGTTATTAGTGCCATTTGTACTGGTATGATGCTACACTTTGCCTTTCTTGGAACTTTTCTGGCCTTGCATGCAGCATGAATTATTTAAGTGAGAGACATAGGCCGTGGCAAATTCTCTCCTTACAAATGCAAGCTGTATGCAGAATTTGTCTACACCATATGCTGTATGATCACTCTTTATTTATAACTCTTGGAATATTATTTTAAATACTGATAATTGTGCAAAACCTTACTTTAATTTTTTTTTTTTTTCCAGCACGACTCACCAGGTAGTTTGTATCAACAACATAAATTTTCAGAGAAAGTCTGTTGTAGTAAGTATGTCTTAGTAAAATTTGAAAGAAGAAATGGAAAGTGTGGATTTCCTTCATGATTTTAGAAGTAACAGCTGCACACACAAGCTGATTATGTTCTTCAGCTTCTTATGCTTTCTCTTAAGTCTGTCACTCATAGAGATGCCTCAAATGAAATACCCTGTAATAGCAATTGTTCTAACCTCTGTGAGGAAAAGCTTTCTAAAAGCTTTCTAAAGGAAAGTGGATAATACTGCAAAGAAATCTGCAGTCAAGAATTAACTTTTAACAGTGTTAGTTGGTGTTAGGGATAAAGTTATTTGTAGCTTGCATGTGACTTCATGAGATTTGAAGAGGCCTCGAGGCTTGGAGACTATTTGTGAATGTGGATGTATGGCTGAATGGAGTCTACTTAGATTATAAGAGTCATTTTTCAGGCTTAGATGCCAAAGCCTAAAACATGGGCAGAAAAAGGTTGGTAATAAACTTGATATCTAGTCAGCAGAGGCAAATATTTTCCAGTAAAATAAATATAGTTAGCAGTCCTTTTCAAGTTTTGATTTTTATTATTATGTACTTTGTGACTGGGAAAATTCACCTGTTAGATTATATGAAATAAAATGTATTTTAGACGTCTACAAGGAAAATACTATTTTGTAGGTACAGAATTAATATTTTACCCATGATTTTCTTCTGGAAATGCATTTGATTTGTTTTATTTTTAATATATGGCAAAAATTTTAAAGGAAGTGTTGATTTGTTTTCTCGTAGGGCTACGTGGAACTGACAGTATTTCCCACAGTTGCAAACCTGAATAGGATCAAACTGAACAGTAAACAATGCCAAATTTACAGAGTGAGGGTCAATGATTTGGAAGCAGCTTTCATCTGTAACGATCCAACGCTGGAGGTTTGTCACCATGAGTCAAAGCAGTAAGTGAAGCGTTTAAAACAACGTGGATGTTGTGTTGTCTTTTGTTGTGAAGCATCAC